AAATTGTTCCACTGCATCATCCAGCCGAGTGAAAACAACAAAACAAGTACGGTGACACGGAAACCTCCTCTTTTACGATGCGTTCCGCGCACTGAATGAACGTGTGTGCAACGTAGTCGATTCTTGGTCGATGTATAGGAAGGTTGGCGAACTAGTGTCATTGTATGTCTGAAAACGCTCAGCACACACAGGTGATTCTACTTGCGCCGTTGTAAACGTGCGGTCGAAAACAGCTGATGACAAATGTTGACACCGAAACAATTGTCAGCGAAAACAATCTTGAGCTGCGAATGTTGAGCCTTGTGTTCACCTTTCATTGCCTCAAAGAACGCAGTGCACTCGCTTATTGAGGTCATCGTTGCACTCATGCCTTACAACCGCTGTAACGCATCCATGTATTTTTGGCGTAAACCCGGAACCGATATACATCCGATAGATCGATGCATGAAGACAGCCGTGACAGTGCATTACCCCAGAAGCATTACTTTTTGTCATGATGTTCGGGGGTGAAAGCTGCTTTTCTACTCGGACACAACCAGACCCTATCTCAAGAAAATACGTCCATACAACACACAACTTGTTGCGAGCTTCAGCCGCATTACCACGTTCATGCCATTCACCGTGGTTTAATCTTGTTGATGACCAAAGGCAACCTTGCAGACATCGTTGGAACGGTTTTGTCAAGGGGTGACGTGAACTCGTTTTTGCACTATGCGTTTTACTCTATCAAGTGGTGCGTAGATGTCAGAGCAGTAGACACTTCAGCGTTGAACGAGCTTCATCCATGATATCTGTTGCTGGCCCTGTGATAGGGCTCAGTTCCATTTCGACACACACACACCTGCAGCAGCTCCAATGATTGCGAGAAGGAGTGTTGGTTGCAGAGACCAGAGCTCTGTACTGTTGCATCGAAAATGGAGACGCCCATGTTTTCTTGCACGTCGTGACTATTTGACAGTTGGTCTATGAATGGCCGGTTGCTCGTTTGCAGTTGTCGAGGAGAACCGTAGATGGAGAAGACAGCACAGAATTCCTGAGTCAAAGGACGCATCAGGCGGTAGATCAAAGGATGCATCAGAGGGCAGATCACGAGCTATGAACAGATCCATCGCCAAGCAACACCTGGTATTTTTGTTTGAAAAGAGCATTTGTGTTTGGGAACGACTTTTTTATACTCACGAACGATGTTACGTTACTACATATAGCACCTTCTAGGATCTTGGAGAACCACCGGAGTGCAGCAAATGACCGAGCAGCTCCATCTTGCTTCCGTCGAACTCTACAATTTGTCCGGATCCACCGAACCCGTTCACTTCTCCAAGCGAAGCTTGCGGTACACTTTCTGAGAAGTGTCGCTTGTCCCGGTCTTCGCCCCAGCAGTTGCACTGGCAGTAGCAGTTGCAGAAGCGCTCGCAGAAGCACTCGTCGATGCGCCACCTGCACCCGTGCCAGTGGAGGCCGTTCCGGTACTGGTGCCGTCCGTCACAGTCACAGTCTTGCTCGAGCCGCCGTTGCCCCCGCCGGTCTTCACGTTGATATCATGAGCGCCGACTGTAGGGTTGCCAGTCACATCGACTGTGCCCGGATACACGACACCACCAGGATACCGGCCGACGCCAACGTCAGCACCGATGCCAACGTCCGCACCGACGCCGATGTCAGCACCAGCGCCGTTCAAACCAACACCATCGGGGTATCCGCCATGGCCGACACGGAGGCCAACGCCGTTTAAGCCGACACCGACACCGGGGCCATTCAAGCCGACACCAACACCAAGGCCATTCACGCCTACGTAGCCGGGAGCTGCGACACCGACGCTTGCAACACCCGGGACGGCTACACCCACACCGTGACCACCGAGTAGTCCAAACGTCTGGGCGACTGCTTTTTCAGCATGTGCGCCACGGTTGGAAGTGGCCATAGCGACAGCGTACAAAGCGAAGATCTTGGTGCTGCTGAACATGGTTGGAGTTTTTAGATGTAGAGGAAGCTCGGCCGAGTCAACAGAGGAAAGAAAGAGCTTGGGATGGGGAACTTGGCTCGAGTACAACAGAAGCTCAAGGCGGTAAATGCGAGAATGAGCAGTCTGTGGTGGGGCTCGCGGACCGCTATGCAAGACTTGGAGCTACTTGACTTGCAACTTGCTCGACAGATGTTTGTGTGATCTGGTCATACATACGTCTTCCTTGCTACTCACGCCCCTTGACCGATCGGCGGCGTATCGCCCCCGCCCATGCGGTTTTATCAACATGGTCAACATCCGAATACACTCATTGTTGCGGCCATCGACGAACGTACTGTTCAGACTCGGGCAGAAGCTAAGCGGAACGAGCGTGAATCGTCTCACCTCGCGCAATCGATCATACAGACGGGTGTGTAGTTGTGGACTCTTCATATTCTCACCTGTAATTTGTGGTTCAATACGCCACCTGAACGAACACATAGACCGGACCATGGAGGCTGCAGGACTTCAGTGCGAACGGATCACGTGCGGACGGATCCCATCGAGTGTGTGCACTCGGAAAGGATGTGGCGCCGCAGGTGCATACTGCCAAGTCGAGCGACAATGGCACTAATCTTGCACATAGTTAATCAAGTGTAAAATGACCAACTGTGACAACAGTAAGAGATACAAAGACACTCAAACAGCACACGTTGAGATGCGACGTCATGACAATACAGGCTTTTCGCTCGGTGACAGACAGAGCATCGAATGACAAATCTATACTTGACCTTTCGGTATGACTTCTCGTTATGACGGTCCGTTCTGTAGCTTCTTTTACACATCGTCTCGTACACTCGAAGCTGAAGCAGCTGATTCAAATTGTTCGAAAGCGACTCGGCTCGCATTTCCAGCGCCTTTTCATCCGAACATTCGGCCGGACGTTGTAGATGCAACAGTCGCTATGAGCTACTAGTGGTGATACATGGTATCAGACCACATACGTGTAGGCGGTAAGCACATGCGTGTAAGCTGGCCGAGATGAAAATTCGATGCAAGGATATGCCGATCGTGGTGCGCTCTTTTTGCGTGCTACTAGTAGATAGCTCAGTCCTTTTGCACGGTTTTAGGTCGGTCATTCTGCTAGTTTAAAGTCAACGGAATGGAGGCTGCTATAAGAGAGGCGAAAGAGCCTACGATGCGCCGACTTTGCAGAAGATAAAAGACGCTCGGTACAAGCTGGACGATTCATTGGCGTGCTTCCCTCCGTATGTTTGAAGAATCCGCCAGCCTTCAAGGGTACAACGGTGTTTGGCTGTGTAATGTAACCTGAACCAGGAGAGTGCCAGCCATGCTTTCCTGTGGACTGGCAAGTGGAAGACCGCCGCCAGTTTCCTGAAGTCTGTTCACTCAGACTGAAGAGCCGTTCACCCCAATCATTTTGTCAAAAAAATGATCGAGTGACGCTGCTTGAAACATAGTAACACGCCTGCTTATGTCGTACTACTGCTAGCGATCCAACATGGTTCCGTTGTTATCGCGGAAGGACCTGGTTTCTTGCACCAGCACAGATCTTGTAGGTAGGAAGACCAATGCTGTACGTATCACTATGACAGCAGGCCACATGTTGCATGTGGGAAGCCAAATGCGTAGTAGAAGATAGGACCATCACCCCACGGCGGTTCTCAAAGTAAATAGTGCACACCGCTAGAGCTGAGATCTGCGCTCGTCTTGGTCATCGAGGCTCACGAAATTGTTCCACTGCATCATCCAGCCGAGTGAAAACAACAAAACAAGTACAGTGACACGGAAACCTCCTCTTTTACGATGCGTTCCGCGCACTGAATGAACGTGTGTGCAACGTAGTCGATTCTTGGTCGATGTATAGGAAGGTTGGCGAACTAGTGTCATTGTATGTCTGAAAACGCTCAGCACACACAGGTGATTCTACTTGCGCCGTTGTAAACGTGCGGTCGAAAACAGCTGATGACAAATGTTGACACCGAAACAATTGTCAGCGAAAACAATCTTGAGCTGCGAATGTTGAGCCTTGTGTTCACCTTTCATTGCCTCAAAGAACGCAGTGCACTCGCTTATTGAGGTCATCGTTGCACTCATGCCTTACAACCGCTGTAACGCATCCATGTATTTTTGGCGTAAACCCGGAACCGATATACATCCGATAGATCGATGCATGAAGACAGCCGTGACAGTGCATTACCCCAGAAGCATTACTTTTTGTCATGATGTTCGGGGGGTGAAAGCTGCTTTTCTACTCGGACACAACCAGACCCTATCTCAAGAAAATACGTCCATACAACACACAACTTGTTGCGAGCTTCAGCCGCATTACCACGTTCATGCCATTCACCGTGGTTTAATCTTGTTGATGACCAAAGGCAACCTTGCAGACATCGTTGGAACGGTTTTGTCAAGGGGTGACGTGAACTCGTTTTGCACTATGCGTTTTACTCTATCAAGTGGTGCGTAGATGTCAGAGCAGTAGACACTTCAGCGTTGAACGAGCTTCATCCATGATATCTGTTGCTGGCCCTGTGATAGGGCTCAGTTCCATTTCGACACACACACACCTGCAGCAGCTCCAATGATTGCGAGAAGGAGTGTTGGTTGCAGAGACCAGAGCTCTGTACTGTTGCATCGAAAATGGAGACGCCCATGTTTTCTTGCACGTCGTGACTATTTGACAGTTGGTCTATGAATGGCCGGTTGCTCGTTTGCAGTTGTCGAGGAGAACCGTAGATGGAGAAGACAGCACAGAATTCCTGAGTCAAAGGACGCATCAGGCGGTAGATCAAAGGATGCATCAGAGGGCAGATCACGAGCTATGAACAGATCCATCGCCAAGCAACACCTGGTATGTTTGTTTGAAAAGAGCATTTGTGTTTGGGAACGACCTTTTATACTCACGAACGATGTTACGTTACTACATATAGCACCTTCTAGGATCTTGGAGAACCACCGGAGTGCAGCAAATGACCGAGCAGCTCCATCTTGCTTCCGTCGAACTCTACAATTTGTCCGGATCCACCGAACCCGTTCACTTCTCCAAGCGAAGCTTGCGGTACACTTTCTGAGAAGTGTCGCTTGTCCCGGTCTTCGCCCCAGCAGTTGCACTGGCAGTAGCAGATGCAGAAGCGCTCGCAGAAGCACTCGTCGATGCGCCACCTGCACCCGTGCCAGTGGAGGCCGTTCCGGTACTGGTGCCGTCGCCGTTCGTCACAGTCACAGTCTTGCTCGAGCCGCCGTTGCCCCCGCCGGTCTTCACGTTGACATCATGAGCGCCGACTGTAGGGTTGCCAGTCACATCGACGGTGCCCGGATACACGACACCACCAGGATACCCGCCGACGCCAACGTCAGCACCGATGCCAACGTCAGCATCAACGCCGATGTCAGCACCAGCGCTGTTCAAACCGACACCATCGGGGTATCCGCCATGGCCAACACGGAGGCCAACGCCGTTTAAACCGACACCGACACCGGGGCCATTTAAGCCGACACCGACACCGGGGCCATTCAAGCCGACACCAACACCAAGGCCATTCACGCCTACGTAGCCGGGAGCTGCGACACCGACGCTTGCAACACCCGGGACGGCTACACCCACACCGTGACCACCGAGTAGTCCAAACGTCTCGGCGACTGCTTTTTCAGCATGTGCGCCACGGTTGGAAGTGGCCATAGCGACAGCGTACAAAGCGAAGATCTTGGTGCTGCTGAACATGGTTGGAGTTTTTAGATGTAGAGGAAGCTCGGCCGAGTCAACAGAGGAAAGAAAGAGCTTGGGATGGGGAACTTGGCTCAAGTGCAACAGAAGCGCAAGGCGGTAAATGCGAGAATGAGCAGTCTGTGGTGGGGCTCGTGGACCGCTATGCAAGACTTGGAGCTACTTGACTTGCAACTTGCTCGACAGATGTTTGTGTGATCTGGTCATACATACGTCTTCCTTGCTACTCACGCCCCTTGACCGATCGGCGGCGTATCGCCCCCGCCCCTGCGGTTTTATCAACATGGTCAACACCCGAATACACTCATTGTTTCGACCATCGACGAACGTACTGTTCAGACTCGGGCAGAAGCTAGGCGGAACGAGCGTGAATCGTCTCACCTCGCGCAATCGATCATACAGACGGGTGTGTAGTTGTGGACTCTTCATATTCTCACCTGTAATTTGTGGTTCAATACGCCACCTGAACGAACACATAGACCGGACCATGGAGGCTGCAGGACTTCAGTGCGAACGGATCACGTGCGGACGGATCCCATCGAGTGTGTGCACTCGGAAGGATGTGGCGCCGCAGGTGCATACTGCCATGTCGAGCGACAATGGCACTAATCTTGTACATAGTTAATCAAGTGTAAAATGACCAACTGTGACAACAGTAAGAGATGCAAAGACACTCAAACAGCACACGTTGAGATGCGACGTCATGACAATACAGGCTTTTCGCTCGGTGACAGACAGAGCATCGAATGACAAATCTATACTTGACCTTTCGGTATGACTTCTCGTTATGAGGGTCCGTTCTGTAGCTTCTTTTACACATCGTCTCGTACACTCGAAGCTGAAGCAGCTGATTCAAATTGTTCGAAAGCGACTCGGCTCGCATTTCCAGCGCCTTTTCATCCGAACATTCGCCCGGACGTTGTAGATGCAACAGTCGCTATGAGCTACTAGTGGTGATACATGGTATCAGACCACATACGTGTAGGCGGTAAGCACATGCGTGTAAGCTGGCCGAGATGAAAATTCGATGCAAGGATATGCCGATCGTGGTGCGCTCTTTTTGCGTGCTACTAGTAGATAGCTCAGTCCTTTTGCACGGTTTTAGGTCGGTCATTCTGCTAGTTTAAAGTCAACGGAATGGAGGCTGCTATAAGAGAGGCGAAAGAGCCTACGATGCGCCGACTTTGCAGAAGATAAAAGACGCTCGGTACAAGCTGGACGATTCATTGGCGTGCTTCCCTCCGTATGTTTGAAGAATCCGCCAGCCTTCAAGGGTACAACGGTGTTTGGCTGTGTTACGTAACCTGAACCAGGAGAGTGCCAGCCATGCTTTCCTGTGGACTGGCAAGTGGAAGACCGCCGCCAGTTTCCTGAAGTCTGTTCACTCAGACTGAAGAGCCGTTCACCCCAATCATTTTGTCAAGAAAATGATCGAGTGACGCTGCTTGAAACATAGTAACACGCCTGCTTATGTCGCACTACTGCTAGCGCATCCAACGTGGTTCCGTTGTTATCGCGGAAGGACCTGGTTTCTTGCACCAGCACAGATCTTATAGGTAGGAAGACCAATGCTGTACGTATCACTATGACAGCAGGCCACATGTTGCATGTGGGAAGCCAAATGCGTAGTAGAAGATAGGATCATCACCCCACGGCGGTTCTTGAAGTAAATAGTGCACACCGCTACAGCTGGGATCTACGCTCGTCTTGGTCATCGAGGCTCACGAAATTGTTCCACTGCATCATCCAGCCGAGTGAAAACAACAAAACAAGTACAGTGACACGGAAACCTCCTCTTTTACGATGCGTTCCGCGCACTGAATGAACGTGTGTGCAACGTAGTCGATTCTTGGTCGATGTATAGGAAGGTTGGCGAACTAGTGTCATTGTATGTCTGAAAACGCTCAGCACACACAGGTGATTCTACTTGCGCCGTTGTAAACGTGCGGTCGAAAACAGCTGATGACAAATGTTGACACCGAAACAATTGTCAGCGAAAACAATCTTGAGCTGCGAATGTTGAGCCTTGTGTTCACCTTTCATTGCCTCAAAGAACGCAGTGCACTCACTTATTGAGGTCATCGTTGCACTCATGCCTTACAACCGCTGTAACGCATCCATGTATTTTTGGCGTAAACCCGGAACCGATATACATCCGATAGATCGATGCATGAAGACAGCCGTGACAGTGCATTACCCCAGAAGCATTACTTTTTGTCATCATGTTCGGGGGTGAAAGCTGCTTTTCTACTCGGACACAACCAGACCCTATCTCAAGAAAATACGTCCATACAACACACAACTTGTTGCGAGCTTCAGCCGCATTACCACGTTCAATGCCATGCACCGTGGTTTAATCTTGTTGATGACCAAAGGCAACCTTACAGACATCGTTGGAACAGTTTTGTCAAAGGGGTGACGTGAACTCGTTTGCACTATGCGTTTTACTCTATCAAGTGGTGTGTAGATGTCAGAGCAGTAGA